CACTAACTCTTTCTTTGACTAACTCTTTCCCTGATTAACTGTTTCTTTGACTAACTCTTTCTTTGACTAACTCTTTCTCTGACTAACTCTTTCTTTGACTAACTCTTTCTTTGACTAACTCTTTCTTTGACTAACTCTTTCCCTGACTAACTCTTTCTTTGACTAACTCTTTCCCTGACATTCTAAAAGTCCGTAACACGGAAGTTTCTCCCCCTAAACTTCCTTTGATCATTAAATATCATTAAACATTGTCGAAGGAAGTTTAGAAGTCAAACTTCCGACAATATGGACAGATGAAAAGCAGAGCAGGGAAGAGGCAGAGAGAAGAGAGAGAGTAGGGGGATTGATCAATGCGCGAAAAGGTAGGAAAGTCGCGATTCACTGTGTTTTTCCAATGATTTGTGGCTCCGGAGGGTCGAAAAGTAGGCTAAAGCGGCGGGTGCGGAGCCAGCAGGCCAGATGAGAGATGAAAAATTGCACGCCGTTGTGGCGCGAAGCACATTTCCAAGTCAAAATGTACAAAGCACACCAGGTCCGGACCACTTTTGGCAGTTGAGATGCCGAAAAAGTGCACGCCGTTGTGGCGCGAAGCACACCAACAAGCCAAAATGTACAAAACACACCAGGTCCGGACCACTTTTGGCAGTTGAGATGTCGAAAAAGTGCACGCCGTTGCGGCGCGAAGCACATGTCGAAGTCAAAATGTACAAAACACACCACGTTCGGACCACTTTTGGAAGTTGAGATGTCGAAAAAGTGCACGCCGTTGTGGCGCGAAGCACATTTCGAAGTCAAAATGTTCAAAACACTAGGGGTTCGGACCACTTTTGGAGGTTCAGATGTCGAAAAAGTGCATGCCGTTGTGGCGCGAAGCACGTTTCGAAGTCAAAATGTTCAAAACACCAGGGGTTCGGACCACTTTTGGAGGTTCAGATGTCGCTTCGCTTCACTACACTACATTACACTACACTACACTCCACTACACTACACTACAGGACATTACACTCCAGTACACTACATTACACTACACTACACTCCAGTACACTCCACTACACTAAATTACACTACACCACACTACATTACACTACACCACGCTCCACTACACTACACTACACTACACTACATCACATTACACTACACTACACTCCACTACACTACATTACACTATACTACACTATCTTCCACTACACTTCACTACCTTACACTACACTACACTCCATTACACTACAACTACGGTAACGACATTTAAATATGTGGAGGGCGGGCCAGACGGCAAGGCCCCGGAGGTAGTATGAAATACCAGTTCGTATCTTTAAATGTAGTTGCAGTATGTTTAAATGAATTGGATTCCGTATGTTTAAATGGCTGGGCGGGCCAAGGAAAACCTTCCCGGAGGTAGTCTAAAATACCTATTCGTATATTTAAAAATCCGTATATTTAAACGTAGTTACCGTACAACTACAACTACACAACTACACTCCACTACACTAAGTTACACTACACTACACTACATTACACTACACTACACTACATTCCGCCACACTCCACTTCATAGATAGATAGATGGCTAGACAGATAGACAGATAGATAGATAGATGGATAGATAGATAGATAGATAGACAGACAAATAGATAGAGAGACAGCTAAATAAAAAGATAGATAGATAGTGGATAGATAGATAGATAGATAGCCAGATAGATAGATAGATAGATAGATAGATAGATAGCCAGATAGATAGATAGCCAGATAGATAGATAGATAGATAAATAGATAGATAGATAGATAGATAGGGAGATAGATAGGTAGATAGATAGATAGATAGGGAGATAGATAGACAGACAGACAGATAGATAGGTAGACAGATAGATCAGTAGGTAGGTCGGTAGATAATTAGAGAAAGATAGGGAAACAGAGAGAAAAAGAGAGAAAGAGAGAGAAAGAGTGAAAGAGATCAAGCACCTTTCAGTCCATCAGTGGCTTCGCTCTGCCATCCCTGATTCACAACAACCAAGCTCTCCTATAGGTTTCCTATTTTTGAAACTTCCACCACCGCCTTGTGTGGTACTACTGGTAATTAATACAGTGCCCATCAAATAGCTTAAAACATACAATATAGCGATTATCATTGGTTGGAAAGAAAAACACCAATAATAATTGTTTACTTAATGATGGCACTGTGCCACTGCAGCCTCTGGCCATCCAAGCCTCGCACCCATAGCTATGCTAAACTATCGGAGGGTAGTATTCACCCACCGAGGGACATATAGGACCTCACTTCGGTTCGTTTGTGTCTAGACTTACGGCCATGATCATGGCTGAGAATTGGTGATGGTTTTGAACGGGTTTGAGGCATGTTTTTTGTCGTTGGTACATAGACCATTTTTATCATTGTTCTCCCTATTCCCTTGGTTCAAACCCGTTAATCGTTCTAAAGAAACCATGCCCAGCCACTGTGAACATGGAGTGCATCTTCACCTGTGGTAAATGGTTTCCTGTGCCCTGTTGGATATAGCTGGATTCAGCTGAATGCTGATGAACATAGACTGAAAATCGGTGCGGCTGTGATGCTCTGGCAAAATCCACAAGTGCTTTGCGTGACAAATCAGGGTGTGCAGGGCATGCTGCGGAAATTTGGGTTGGAGATGTCATAAAATATGAAGCTCAGATGATTTGCGCTCCAATTGCTGGTTATTTTCGAATTCTCAATTGAAAAAAATATGTAGCCAATCGCTGAAGTGGAGTGGGGTAGGAATCTATTGAAAAGGAAATTTCACCTGGGGTGTTCAATCATCCTTCCCAACCATTTGAGACAGGTTCCACGCCTCATTTTGCAGGAAGTGGACCCACTTTCACCCACGAGGTGTCCATGCTAAGATATGATAGCCATTTTGGGGTGGATGTGTGTGTGTGTGCTGCGCCACACCACCTGATCAGGTCATGGCACAGCGATGTTGATCAGCGGCATATCCTTGAGCAAAGATGTTTGATCCCATCTGAGACCGTTCACAGATGTTCACAGCTGTGTGTTGTTTGAAAGTGTGTGTTTTACATTGTTTTACTATTTCGGGTTACATTGCCCAGAGTTTGTTATGTTTAGCTAAACTGGTTGGCTTCTGGACGTGTTCTTTTCCTACTAGCGGGTAGGGGGATAAGGTTTCATATTATTGAGTTGTTGCCGGTACCAAATGGTGAAAGCTGCATTTCTGAGCAGTGAATAGCAGAGCCTTTTCGCATGAAAACAATGATTCAATGTTGCTGTGTTGCTCTTAATGTATCTAGCTCTATCAGGTTTGCATATGTTTAAGATATCTCAAGAAATAGGCCACAGCTTGCCAATTCATCTGCAATTCTCAAGTTTCACCGTTCGGTTTGCCGTATGTTCCTGTCCAAATAGACCACTCAGCGACAATTGGCGACCACCTGTGTTTGCATGTGGAAAACAGCCGGGCAGCTGTTGCTGCTGTTGCTACAGAGTCCTCAATGACCTGAGTCATCCACAGGGTTTACGCTTCTGGATTTGACCATTTGCCTGGATCATCCATTGAATCATCCATTATCATCCTGGGTCTGTGTTTGGTTCCTTTCCCAAAAAAGTTGAAATGATGACATTAAATTGCTGACCCTAAATTATCAGAATCAGAATGTTCAGACGGTGATTGCCCAATATCACTTGGCATGTTCCCAAATACTTGAGGCCCATGACAGCCCATTTGAATCCATTTGATTCATCACGTTGAAAACCACCCCCACCCCAGCGCACCAGGGCGAAATGAAAGGTAAAGGACTCCAACACTTGCAGCGCGGGGACTGAGGTCAACGGGATGTTGGCAGAGTGAAGGATGTACTGGCTTGGAGGACCTAGGATTCAGATTCCGCCACGATTTGAGAACCAACCTGGTCAACCTAGTCAACCTGGTCCATATTGGGGTGATGTTTCAACAATCAGCAGTAGGATGATGTTTTTTTGGTTGGTTGGGTGTTACGCGAACACTGGAAAAGAAATGGGAACCACAGATGCCCATCACCAAGGAAAGCAATCATGCTTCGCCCTGTACGGAATCTTTAAAAAAAATCCAAAGCTATCGCAAATTAGCTTATGTATATATATATATATATGATTAGCTATGATTATATATGCAGATGTAATACATACATGTGTAATGTGTATGTGATTGTGTATATAGAGTTAATGTATCGGTATATATACCTCTTCTTTGCATTGAAGCCACAAGCCTTGCATCGTTGGCAAAATCAACCTGCAGAAGAAAGATCCCAATCCAATGAGGCGTGGAGGTGAATTGAGGGGCAAAAAAGGCATCAAAATCCGCTTTGTGAGGCAGGTGCATATGGAGCGGCCACTAGTGGGTTGCTGGTAAACCTCAAGATACCTGAAGGATACAGTACTGGTTTTGTTTGGTTTTCTTCAGGTCAAATGTTTGCCTAGAGTTTTTGCAGTAGATGCATAATATAAACCTTCTATATAATTATATATATATTGTATATGTAAATATCAGGAAAATCACGAAGATAAGTCTCCCCAAGCTTGACATGGGTATCTTTGAGTAGGGCCCCTTATCCCCATCTGATGGGAAATGGAGTCACGAAGCCTGCAAGGTACCTGATGGTTTTCTCACCAGCAGATGCCTTCAGAATCAACAGCATGGGAAACCCAAAGATATTCAAAGAATGCGTTAGACTTCATAAATCAGCCATTTGAGAAGACTGGAGAGACTCAAAACTCATGACAAACGAATGCGAATGACTTCGTGACCAATTGCAGGAGTATCAACAGTCCAGATGTGTCCACAGAGTATGTATGGTAAGCACTAATTTCATCATATTTCATCTAGTGGTTGATGAAATTTGTGCTAACCATACATATTAAAAGATATTATAAGCAACTAAATTCTTAGCCATCTGTGTGAATAACTTCTTTTGGGCTTTAGCCATTGATACCCCCTGCACTGTTGGCATTACCCCTCAGGGCACCAGCTGGTGGCATGTTCAGCTATTTGCAGGCCCATTTGGTGCTGATTTCAAAATTTGGGAACCCCCAAATCTCGATAGGAAAACTTAGGAAAATTGCAAAATAGATCAAAAAGCCCAGATCTCTGAGGGCAATTCAAATAGTTGGTATCCAGAAGAAAAGATCTGGAAGAAAGACTGCCGTTCAAACCGGTTCAAACTATGTGCAAACAGGTCAGCCCAGGTTCGAGTCGGATGAAAAGAAACTCACAACACACTTTAGCATGGTGAAGTAGGCTTTAAAAGGCAGGGCAAGGATGGCCATTACATGTCATTACTGGAAAAGGTAGATACCAACCATGGTGATTTGGCGTTCAAAGCTGTGAAAGAACCGGTTTGGATGATTTGCTTGCCATTATCGAGCTTAGAATATCTCGATATCGAGCTTAGAATATCTCGATATCGAGCTTGAGCTTCAAGTCAAATCCTAGCCAAGTCAGGAATTTGGAGTACAATTTGATGTTGTGGTACAAAATCGATCTCAATTTCATCGTGCCTGGTGGATCTTCACCAGATCCTTGGATCGAGCCAACCTCAGGCGATTCGGAGCTTAGAGATGATGCTGGATGAGTTGCTGGCCGAAGCAGCTAGGAGGCCCGGATCGTCATGGTCGCCATGGTCGCCATGGTCGCCAGGGAATGGGATTTAATTGGAGACCGGATCCATACCCCTTTTGATGCAATTATGAGCTAATTTGGGAAGCGCCTTGTGAATGCTGACCATCAACCTACACCAGACACTGGGATTCCTTGTGGCATTCGGCGAATTCGAGCCAGGGATCTTGGGTATTTATTGGGCTGATCCGTGCTGGCCTCTGATTTGGGTCCACTCAAAACATCTCAGCATATGTGCGCGTGTGGTTTCTGTAGTTCATTCATCAATGTCAGAGCCCTTGCGGGTGGTTCCACCAGAATTGTGGGACTGGTGCACCCATCCTGCGCGGTTTGATGTTGGTGTTGCTGCTGGTATAGAGAACGTCGACAGAATGCCGAGAACCACTTGGACAAGAACGACAAAGAAGCCAGCTACTCTCAAGCCATTTTCCCCCTAGGACCATCTTATGGTATGCTGTTTTGATTCTTTGTGCTATGAGCATTCCTTGATACATAAATTATATGTGATTATATCTAGATAAACTAAACAAATCCCAAAGTATATATCTTATATAACTAAACGCCGAATGAAACTTTGGGCGAGCCTCCGCACCGGAGGGAAATACATTTACATGTGTAGTTTTGTATCATATACATATGATAAATATATAAAATTATAATAAATTATATAAATAATGTGTATATATATATAATATATAAAATATAAAGAATATATACATAGAATCTTAGAAAGAAAGATGATGTGCATAATGCATAGCGGCTCTCTGCGCAGGCCGTTGCCCACAGAAGGTTGCTTCAGGTACGGTGAGATGAATCGACCAGGCGGATCTGTCGAGGGGCACCAGGTGCAGTTTACACTGTACGGTTGAGATCGGTTGAGTCGGTTGCGTATTTACTATTTAATTCTATTTAATCTATTTATCTTATTGTTTTTTACATTATTTTTTCATGTTTTCTGTTTGTTTGATGTATTTTGATGCTGTTTTGATGATTGTATGTTGCATTTGTATGATGTTCTGTGACTCTAGGATTTCATTGCGTGTTCATGGAGGATTGGATGATGTGGTTCCATGTTTGGTTTCATTTTGTGAGGTGGTGTCGGGGCCTCATTATGTCATTGGCATTTGTGGCTGTTGTATTTCTTCCATGTTCTTTTCCCAACACGCTTCGAATTCTAGACGCCAATCCTAGGACCAGCAGTTTCCTCTCTGGGAAACTCCAGTTTGCCATCAGATGACAACATCCATACCCCAAGATCAAACCAAAACCAAAACAATCCGAGGCATTCAAGCAGGTCCACATAATTACATGATTCTTGTAGCAAAAAATTGCCTGAAAATAATTATTGATAGTCAGATAGTCCATCTCCCAGGGATTTTCATGGATTTAGGCCTTCGCTTGGGCCTTCGCTTGGGTCGCAGGTTGGCAGGGCCCAAACCCCGCTGTCCTGAGCCCGTCCCGGCATTCCAACCGGCCACGACCCGCCAAAGGCAGAGTTGCAAATCAAAAATGACAGACAGGGTTGAACATCATTTTACACCAAGACAGGGAGCCAAACCATTGCGCTCGGGTGGTTTGATAATGATGCACTAAGAGGAGTCAAGATATAATAGTGATTGAGATGGATTAAGATATGATATGGGTTTTTATGTTTCCAAACTTCTGGATTCTCGGAAATTCCCAGAATCTGCTCACCAGTTGAGTGTGGTTGACCCTGTATAGGATTGGAGCTCCAGGCAATTTAAAATGAATATACTAGTACACTATAAATACATTCAATACATATAAACAGATACATATGAATCATATATATATATATATTATTATTATATGTATATATTATCTATATATATACATATATCTTACATACTTACATACTTTCAATTATCTTCTCTACAAGCTCAAAGAACGTCCAACACACGTTGGGTCACGTCCAGGCGGCTGGGCTGGATGGGTCTGTCCGGCGACACAGTGCAGCAGAGTGTTGGTTTGTATCGGTGCGAAACGTACTTGAAGAATGGAGATCTGAAGAAATATATCGCATATACCCATTATATCCCCATTTTTACTCATGAAATTTGATGAAATTGGACCATGTTGTTGATCCATTTTTGAGATAGAGTGTTTGGACATGTTTGGACTTTGTTCTTGAATCGAACTATGCTTGATAGACATTCGGGTTGGCCGACATGCTTGACGGAGTTGGAATCTTTGCCAGCTGGGTATGTCCCAGATGTCCAAGAATGCGGGGGTCCAAACTCAGGATGGTTTATATAGTTGCCTTGAAGAGAATCATGTGTTTGGTGTTTGACAGAGTTAATGGGTCAGCTACCGCTGGATGATATCTTTTAGACCCCAAATATCATGAAAAGAATATCAAGACCTTTAGTGATGTTTGTGATTCTTTACCAACAGGTATGCCACGTGTCCATGATATTTTCTCCACCATTGTCCTGTTGATGTCGGTTACACTGTTGATATTACGCTCCCCCTTTGACACTTCAACAAGGTCCTGAGTGCAGCTTCATGAACGAGTCACTTGGTCAAGCAGATGGGGATCCGGATGAATCCAGAAGATTCCAGGAGAATCCACAGAATTCCCGCAGCATCACAGGAGAACCCAGAAGAATCATGACGAATCTAGGTTATGTTGAAACAATTCGAAAGATGTTGAAACTGCATCCGCCTATTTGATGCTGAAACCTCTTTTGTTTCGGCCTAAGTTTGGGGGATGGGATGTGATTCAAATGGTTATCATCACCGTCAGATCACCTATCGAAGCAGCAATTGCTCGCTGGGAACCTTGCCATAAGTGACCCTAGGTTTCAGGGTTGGGTGCTGCAAGTCGAAGGCATCCAAAAGCGCTTGTTGTGTTCTTGGGAAGATCATCCATGTTACTGCGGGGACTCTGACCTGATCATGTAAACTCATTGATAGGTCAAAATCCTCCTCGATATGTCAGCATCCGGAGGGATTCCGTTTTTGCCCCTAACAATCGAGTTCAGGAGAATATTGCTTATGTACAGTATACCTGATGTGCTTGCTGGCTTGAAGTTGTAAGAAGTGCCTAGATCATCCTAAATCCGGGTATCCTCAAAGCCGTGGGACCCCTGTAAATCATCACAAGTGCTTCAGCTCGAAGCCCAAAGATATACAAAGCCCAGTCCTCGAGCAGTACGACCAAATATTATTGAGCAACAGTTTCAGGTTGAAGCAACGCATTCCACTCACCATCGGAACAGCAGAAATTGATCATCCTTCCATTCGGGGTTTTGCGAGGAAGGGCACTGACTTCTGCCAGAATTGTGAGCGAGACGAGATTGAAGCATTGTCTGCGAACAAGGGCAAAATGGGCGTCAGAAAATCCTGAATCAAGTATTTATACACTCCTTTGTTGTAAGGTGCACAAGTCATGGTGTCTATTAGCCTATAAAGATTGGGTGCTTATGGATGCTTGATATTTAGATCTGAGTGATATGAGATGAGAATATGACAAGATATGACAAGAATTATAATATAATATCCAGATATATCCAGATTAGACAATACAAAATACAGAAGGAAAGAGCAGGCTGGGATCCATTGCCGCCAATCCAAAATCTCTCTGAGTCGCCAGGAACATCCAGGAACATCCACTGATCAAGGGGAGCTAAGCAGCGCCAAATCATACGCCCATCCAAATGTGTTTGGGACCCGAAGTAGTGACCCTCTCCAGGACGATTAAAGCCCATCTTTTGGCATGTTCCCCGAGACAGTCAATGTATCATTTGTTTGATGTGCCCCAGCTTTCAAGCTTGGCTTGCCTAGCAGGAATGCTCATGCGCAGTTGCGAAATACCGCGAATATGTAGATGTATAGATAATGTATGACAATGTGTGCTTGTATTTACTCTACACATAGACCTTTCCGCACAGACAAAACATGACAAAACCATAAAACGGCTGTGCTTTTCTCGAGCTGCCATGCCTCGGCGGTGGGAACGGCGGCCTGAGAGTCACGCAGCTCCAGTGACAGCAGTGACAGGCTATGGAAAATCCATGGGAATCAACATGTTTTCAATTGTGACCCATATTCCAATATTCATATTCTTTTGAAAATTATAGACTAGATGTTCGCTGCAAACCCTAGGTTTGCCCGCGGCAAATCCCGCATATCCTTTGACATGCTCAAATCCCTCCGTAGGGTTTAAGTTGTTTACTTTCCAAAACAACAAACCCTAAAACCTTAAAACCTAAAATTAAAGCCCTAAATCCTGAAAACTTAAAGTCAAAATCACTGCGTATAGCCAGTGTTTTCATTCATCTTTTGGTGATAAGTATATCATATTGTTAGATGTGTTGTGTGGGTGTGGGCAACCCCGGGGTTTGAAGGGTAGATGTTTCAGGTGGTTTTCCTGGTTTGTGAGATTTGGATAGATTTGGAGTAAACCCCACTTCTAGGTTGGATTCGCTGGGAGGGAGCCCAAGATTGGGATCAAAAAGTCTTGAGCTTATCGACAACGCTAGGGCAATAGTGCTGGGGAATGTAATCGACAGTGATGAGTATCGAAGCAACAACAGTGAGAATCAAAAATATCCGAACGGATCCGAACGGCCCGGAAATCGGCCCAGCGTTTTCATCAATGTTCATGTTCATTGTGATGTTCGTCTTGGTGAAAACATTGGCATTTGCCACATGTTTATATCATGGTGGTGTCTTTTGGCACCTCATTTCCATTAGGATTTATGAAAAATCATTGTTTTACTGCAGTGGGAGCTAATAAATGCATGTTGAACACCCTCAAAAAACATTACGTTTTTGGGATGGTTTCGCGTTTCGCTACAGCGCCAGCGATTCTTTTCCATCACTTCAACTTGCGGACCGTCTTTGCGGTGATATCACACACATCAGTCGATGTATGTATCGCCATTGCCAAGCCTTGACATATGTCATGATCATTGGACTTTGGCTAGACAGGCTACCTGGCAACATGTTTTTACAGGCCTTCCGGCATCTATCTATTGTACCAGTATGGGCCAGCACCTTTGGACACGGCGCACTGCCTTTGTAAATTGGCCTTTGGAGTGGTTCACAAACTCATGCTGTACATTCAACTTCTCTGCGTAGCATGAAGGGTGTTTACCGAAGTACAACAGAAGTGTAAAACTTAGCATGAAGTGTGTTTACCGAAGTGCAACAGAAGTATACAACGTAACATGAAGCGTGCTTACCGAAGTACAACAGAAGCGTACAACGTAACATGAAGCGTGCTTACCGAAGTACAACAGAAGTGTACAACGTAGCATGAAGTGTGTTCACCGAAGTACAGCAGAAGTGTACAACGTAGCATGAAGTGTGTTTACCAAAGGACAACAGAAGTGTACAACGTAGCATGAAGGGTGTTTACCGAAGCACAACAAAGGTGTACAAATGTGTACAACGTAGCATGACGCGTGTTTACCGAAGAAGATTGATGATAACGTAGAGACAGGACGTTATTACACCCCCCCACCCCACCCCCCAAAACAATATCACAACGCAAAAAAAAACGCAAAAACGCTGGGCCGGTTTTCGGGCCGTAAGCAAAAATATGCAACATTGTGTGAGCGGCTCCAACCACAGGTTCCGCTGCTTCACTGACAAGCCATGGTCCATGTCCAGTATTGTTGGAAAAATCATTGCGGTTGGTTTGTTTGTTATTCGCTCGTTTTATGCCATCTCTATTTTCTATACTCGTCGTTGCCTGTTGTAGCTGGGGATTGAGACCTCCAAGGAACACACAAACGGATTGAAAGGCAACAGTACAGGAGAGATCAGAACAAGGGATATACAGGCCACTGTTGAAGAAGGGATATGCCAGACAGACACTTTGGACAGTGGGAGCCATGGGATGTAATTAAGATCCATGGCGGCTAGCAGCTGTATCAGTGCATAAAACATCATGAAACCAACGATCCGGCTCAGCGCAATCCAAACCAAGCCACATTTTGCGTGTTGATTTGTGTGCATGATTATTTGGGTACATGGTGTATGCCCTACTAAAGGTATGGATTTGTCTTTTCCTCTATGGTTGCAAAGCATTTTGCATGGATTCTCTCTTCCGTCCAAACATGATAGATTGGACATGCCAGCAGTCTTCGTATATCCTTGCCAAAGAACTTTACAGAAAATATGGTTGTCTCGATTTGTCTGGGTATTATATAATTATGTAATACATACATAAAATGTGCAGAAAGGAGTGGCAGCAACGGCCAGTGCCGCAGTGTGAGGCCACCTGGAAGCAGGATCGGTCGAGATACCGAGAGTGTCTTGGCTCGAGGCTTCCATTAATTGGTCAGCAGTGGAGCCCAGTTAGATGATTGGTTGATATCCCACTTAGCTTTGGCTGACCAGTGACCAGGATAGTTTACTTATATCTAATTATACACTGGACCGCGTTTGGACACGTATGATCATGATTTCATATCATGATTTCATGTGTCACCATCCTAGCCAACCACAGCGATTGACCTTTGCTGTGGGTGTCATTCACATCGCAACGGAGGTACTCAGGTAGTCTTAGAAATGCGAATTGTGCGGCACAAAGAGAGAAAGTGAGTGCGTCTTCCTATCTAATCTATATACATGATGTGTTGGGACTTCTTCAATAGTCAATAGTGTTTCTACTCACAGGATCCATGTATATATAGGGAAGCTTGGGCAGCAATGCGTTCATTGCCCAAACAATAATAAGCTTGATGTCTGAATCTTAATGTTTTGATGCAAGTGTTGTGACTCCTTTAGTCGAGGCATTGCAAATGACAAAAGCGCGTGAGCTGCTCCCTGGTTTCGCTGCTTGGAATCAACAAGATGAGTTCCACATGTCCAGAGCATCATTGGGATCTTTTGAGAGTGGGTATCCATGTTCAAACAAAATGTACACTGTACACTTGTTCATGCTTCTGTAATGTAAACTCAGATAGTTTAGTCGGAGAAATATGCAGGAAATCTCCACATCCCAGGCCATCCAGGCCATCCCAAAGCCATCCCAAAGCCATCCCAAGGCCCTGCAGATCCCAGGTGCTTCTCCCCAAAGTCTTGTCCGCAGAGCTGCAGCAGAATCTGTTGGACACAGAACCTCGTCGCGTTGCCGGCGCCAGGGAGTCGGGCTTGAAGTTGGACCGGACGAGGGATCCGGTGGGTTGAAATATGTTAACCAAGAGATCTGCCACTCCGTGAAGTGCAAGATGGCAGAAAATCACAGAAAATATGGGTAGGAGTGAAAATTGCTGACACCATTTTGGGATGATTGAAAATTCAAAACTATTCGAATGGCCAGCCACGTGCAGATCTTGAGCCATACCTCCCCAAGGCCTGTCGAGTGGCAGCAGCACCTACACCTGGACAAAGTGGAGGTCACCACAGAATGGGATCAGTAGTGCTACTGAGGTCATCTGATAGGAGATTGGTTTGGATTGGTCATACTTACATAAATCATGTGTATATATATATAATTATATATGTATGTATATATCTATATATATACATACGTATATATATATATATACACATACGTATATATATAATGGGCTGACGCCCTGATGCCGCCGACCCCCCTTCAAGGGCTGACATCGACTTGCAACATCTTGTGCCCGTGTCGTTTGGCCGCACACGAAATGCCAATGGCGGGGAAGAAAAAATCGTTTGGGGCATTGCATGGTCCCACATGGCTGAATCATGCTGAATCCGTGCCATCCTGCTGAATCGATGCCAACTGCGGCGTCACAGCTGAACGCCAAGAAAAGAAAGATTTACGCTGACTTCGGCATAGATGAAGCACAATGCGAGTGAAAATCTTACCAATGATAATAATGATGGCAGATTTGAGCCTAGGCCTTGAACACGGATGGCAGCTTCCAGAGTTATGGTGGAAGCCATGGCCACGGCCTGCCAAGCAATGCGACAGGCAAAGCTTTGTGACCTGGGCACCGCCCCAGCTGCTGCCAAAGCCGGAGTCGGCGGATATCATGTGTATATATATATTATATGTATGTATTATATGTATGTATTATATGTATGTATTATATGTATGTATTATATGTATGTATTATATGTATATGATCAATTGACCCATCAATGTACCCAGCACACGACATCACTTCGAAAGTCATTGTCTTTAGCACCAGTGGAATGAGATGACCAGCAGATTCAGCAAACAGGAACCCCAATATGCAGATCCTGACATCCAGATTTGAGGCCATTCAGACCGCAGCCAAAAGCCCAATCAGCCAGGCTGGTATCGATGTTCAGCATCAACAGCCCAGTTGAATGATGGGAACAAGGTCGACAGATGTCGCCTTGTGGCTTTCGGAGTGGTAGCTGAACCCCCCCCGGTAAAGCGGACAATTGAATTCCAGTAACCAATTGATCGACCAGGAAAGTGGATGGTTTTAGGCTCTCATTGGAGAATCACCATGAAGGATCCAATTTGGGCAACAGTTGTCTATGCCGTGAACGTCTTCGATGAAGGTACTGTCCCAAGATAACTGCCAGGAGACTACCAACGTGTTCCAGGCGATGCATGTGTTCCTGTGCTTGTTTGGCTTCCAACATGCCAGGCCCGCTTTTGGGATCGGATCGACAAATTTCCAGAAGAGTTTCGACGCCTTGGCGAACAACTTGCTGCTTGCCAGGAAGGGTCGGGGTTGCAGCCCCATCCCAAGCGTCATGTGCTCAGAAAGACATTAGTTTATGCCACCAGGCTCTGGAAATTGGATGGCAACGCTCCAAGCATCCAACGAATTTGATGAATTAGCTTCAACAGTCATATTTTTTGCCTCGCCAATGGCACGTCGGTAATCCAGCCACTGCTAAAGTTTCTTCAGGTCAGGCCTAGGGCCTAGCAGTAAGAGAGGGTTTTGCCATGATTCACTCTTCTTCAAGTCTGCTCATCAGTTGTGATTTCCAAATCCTTCCGTTACCCTTGCCATCGGGATGTCATGGCTGGTTTATGGCTGGTTTATCTTCCATCCAGTCAACGATAATGATGCCATTTGACCAGCATGTTTTTCAGGTGGAATGGTTCAACCACCAACCATCAGATCATTGCTGGTTCATATACATACATACATACATACATACATACATACATACATACATACATACATACAGACAGACAGACAGACAGACATACAGACATACAGACATACAGACATACAGACATACAGACATACAGACATATATTACATTGCATTACACTACATTACATACATTACATTACATACATTACATACATACCATATATACATACCATATACATACCATGAATACATACCATGCATACATACCATTCATTCATTCATTCATTCGTTCGTTCGTTTGTTCGTTCATTCATTCATTCATTCATTCATACATACATACATACTTACATACATACATATATATATATTATATTAATAATAATTACTTACATACTTACATACATACGTACTTACATACTTACATACTTACCTACTTACGTACGTACGTACGTACATACATACATACATACGTACATACAACATGCAATATATATGTGTGTGCGCGTGTTAAATCATGTTATTATATGTTCATACCCACGTTTAGGGTAAGTTTATGATGCAATTAGACTTATGTTTTTTACTACCATATCCTTACTACTATCCCCTCCGTTTCTAGGCCTGTTTCACCCTGGTGCCATCAGGCTGTAGCTGCGGGGGAAACTTGTCCTATTCTCAAGCAGCCAGCCATGGACTTCGAGCCCCGTGTGGGCGCGTCGGCAGACTCGAATGGGCCCAGGTTGACCCCCCCCTTTGACCCCTGTTGATGGATGGTTAAGCATGTGTGATTATACAATAGAATAGAATAATCTGTATATATATATATATTGTGCTATATTATGCTATACTATGCTTTACTAGTATCATACTCGATACTTGTGCAGGGACTTGTAGTATTATTTTCGACTGGGAATCCGTATCAACCAACCAGTGGAAGCGGATCACAGACGGATTTGGCAACGCGGAGTTGATGATTCATGCGATCAACGCGTCCAAGTGGTAGTTGATGTGCATATTGAGGGTACTTGTCACATCACGAAGTTGTTTGGGATTTGGTAGACCTGCCATATTGAGAAATGAAGTGTTGATGTATGATATCTAGAGTTGGAAGCCCTGTGGCACTGCGTAGCCATGTGGTGCAGCTAGATGTAGTTCGGAACCCTCACACCTGTTTTTCTTAATTGAAGTGGTTTGTCATTGTGTTTGTTTCCTTCTGCCATACACGCATAATTAGTCGTAAATTCATTTATATACATACCTCCCCGTATATTTGACTGTAAACAGTAGTTAGATATTGCAATGGGTTCCAAATGAAAGCATATGTCCGACATTAAAGCAGCAGCAGGAAGGGTCACCCCGCATCTATTTCAAGTGACCATGGGCGTGCAAATGGTGAGGTTGAATTTCTACACCGGCAAGGGTCGGATGAATTGGCACAAGGATGATTACAACTTTGCCGTCAACCCCAGCGGGGAGGGGGGGCAGACTGGGGGCAAGTCTTTGATCCGCCATGTTTTGAATTTGATTCAGGTGGATTAAGCTTGTGGAGACAGTACGTCAAAGAGTACTGTTTGATACAGAGCCACAGGCAGCCATTGAATTTGAAATCACAAAAACAACTCCCTTCAGTGGCATTTGGACATGTTGACATGCAAGTTGGACCCATTTGGGCGGACATAAGAATTTGCACAACTTGAGCGAAGATAAATTGACATGAACTCCCATTGCCCGCAGGCCCACAGGCTTGAGCTGATGTCTGCCCCATAGGTCCTCTTCGTAGAAAACAGGCCACATGGCCAAAGTTCAAACTCATGTTCACAGCTGCAATGGCTAGCTCTGGTGCTCTCATTTGAGCGCGAATGGAAAGAATATGTGTGCTTGACAGACCATCAATTCGTATCAAGTCGTATAATTTTGTCACTTGAGATCACTTCCGTCACTTCCGTCACTTCTCTCATTTCATGACCCAGAGATGCGACACCTGCGATTTTACCTGGGCGCATGGATCCTGCATACGGCTGTTGGCCAGAGCGACGATGTGTGTCTTCGTCCTGAAAAGATGCACAGAACATGGTGGAGGGGCCAGCTCCCAGACCCTTTGGTACTAGGTCATTGCGTTAACTCGTCCGGGATTGTCTAATTGTACACTTTGTTACCCACATTGTGCCATTGAGTTCTCCTGTTCGAATCTCCTAAAATATATTACAATATTGAGATTTACTAAAGTGTGCGCAAAGAATCCGATGAAATCAGCCTATTCCGAAAAGGTCCCTGCGAAACGTGTGCCCATGGTGTTTTGATATGTTCTGGTTGACTTTTCGCGGGATGCCTGACTTTACGCGTTCGAGCTGTGCCCATGGGGATGTTTGACTTTAGACGGGCATGCCTGACTTAAGACCCTCACCTTGTACAAAGGCATAGCTATAGTGGACCTCAAAGATGTTGCTGGTGGTTTCTCCAGCAAGTAACTTTGATAAGACGTGAATGAGAATTGAATTGAATTGAATTGTCCTTATTCTTTGGCCTTCCAGACCTACAGATATAGAGGCAGATACAGCAGATAAGTTCGGTTGGCAGGTCAACAGACAAAATCAAAGCCCAAGATGTCAATCACCAACCTAAAATGGGAGTTTGATCTAAACTTGGGTATAATCTACCTTGGAGTCTTCGAGGGAAAGGCTCCGGTTTCCAATTGCCAGTTGGCCTAGGTTCCTTCGCGCAACCTTGTGGGCCCTCGATTTGATCCCAGAATCGTGTACCTTGGATATCCTTGGACCCTTTTGTGGTTAGCCTTGATTTTCAGGAACCTCTTCTTGACCTCTCCTGGGTATCAGGGTAATTCATGGTAATTCCCAAAAATTCGAAAGACTGCAGGCATGCCGTAAGCAAAGATTAGTGACACCTGTGGGTTGGGAGTCTGAAGCTTCGATCCATACCCGTAGCACGTAGACCATCTGAAATCACCAGCTGCAGGTGATGTGAAAGGAAGTGGCTGTGATTGGCTGAGTCTTCCATCTGCAACTCAGCTGGCACTGCGGGTTGGAGGTTGATGAAGCCAAGTCTGCCTTGGAGATGATTTCATATCAAGGAAATCCGATCCTGAGAGCTAAAATTTATGCTGATGACATCTGATGACCATAGTGCCCACTGTACTGTCAAACAAGATGCTAGGACAACATCCACATTAGCTACTTTCATCACAAGCGCATGGATGACGGCAAGTCTATGATACTCCCCGTCAGCAATTGGTGAGGCCATGAGTAGCTATGAGTATCAAGCATATAGAGTGCATTTCAACACCAGTGGCATCTGGATCCAATGCATTGTTATACACCCGTGTACACCTTGAATTGTTTTTCCGCACATACCTGAGAAGATTTGAGAAATGAGACCGTCAAGAGTCAGTCAGATGATTGCTGCATCGTTCTGTCTCCCCCCAGGCCTGGCGCTATGTATGGAACAACCTGCGCCTGGCGGTGGTTGGGGCGCAAAGGCATCGCCACGCCACTGCCATGTGGCAGACAGCAGATGAGGAGTTCGAAGATTTGGAAAGTCGGTTGGGGCAGATCCATCGATTGATGGAGACTGGATGGCATGGCATGGCAGGATGGCGAGCCGATGTATAGGGAGGATATCGTGTCATTTTTCTGGGTCGGCTCAACCTAAAAATACCAACGATTTCGGCATTCCCCCCTCGGGCGCACCTGTTTTTTCTAACCTTTTGTGTATCTGAAAACCAGGGGAGCTTCCCTTTACCAACAAACGGGTTCATATGACTGGCTGTCTTCAAGTATAATGCAGATCCAAAACATTCCAAAACAACGTGCAAGGTAAAGCAAATCCCCATATGAAAGCACGGTGTGATTTACTAGCGATTTACCATATCAAGATCGCTCAATATCCATGGATGTACTATCTTTTTTGAAGCAATATATCATGAGAATTTCATGATAAATATGAATAATGTGGGAAACCCGTTGGTAAACCTATGGCCTGGAGTCTCCGTTTGCCTGGAATGCAATTCATGACGTCTTGACGAGGAGCAAAAACCGTGGTGTTTCCCGTACAAAATGACTGTATCAGCATATTATATATATATATAATATATTGATATGGTCTTGTTTGTGATCGAAAATGGCTTTGCGATTTGCGAGTGCTGTAAATTAAAGGTCTCCGAAAACTCGTTTTGTAAACTCCCTTTCTCACCCTTTTTAATGAATGTAATAGTTCCAGGGGTGTGGGGGATTTGATCCTTTATTTATTGAAGATCTTCAATGCAAGTTGGGACAGTTTAGAGTTTGGGCGAACGGCGCCTCCAGAGCCTAAACCTACCATTTAGGGATGGTTTATAGCACCATATAGCACCCATAAAAACGGTGATTTGGGGGATGGTTTATGGATGTTTATGGCATTGGCTTTACCGCATGACCATGATATTATATCCATCCGAATCAGGAAGACATAGGAAGACAAGCCTCCAAGGATCGCTTGGGTGAAGATCCTGGTCTCTGGTATTCCAATTGGCACCGTGCCAGTGCGATGGCACGGGAACTGCCTCGGCGCTTTGCAAGGTGAGCGGCTCGGTTTCGGGAGTAGATAGACTGGGGGGGTATACTAAGAGATTCCAAGGGATGCAAGTATCACTCTGATTCAAAAACTTCATGCCCAAATTTGAGTGAACATTATCTCGAGTGTTCAGAATCTTCAAAAGAATGCAGGGGTGTCGGGTCTTACCTTCTGAAACGGTGAAGAAACTACACATTGAGAAGCAATAGCTGGAGAGGCATTGCATGAGATGTCCAGCAGCGAATTTGAGCTGACATTACATACCTATTCATACCTGGCCAATCCTGGCCATGCATTGACAAACAACATGTTTCCTGCATATTTCTAGTACAGAGATGACATGAGATGACCTTAATGAATCAACCAGCACCTGAAGGAGCAAGCCACGTGGTATTCCACCTGCGCTTGACCGGCAACCTGCTGGGCATGGTTTGCGTATTCCAAGCGGAGGTCGAGCGCTTCAGGTTTCCAGGACTAGCCGGATTCTCATGAGACAGGTGGAGTTGCTAGGCTCATGTGGTCAAGGTCGCCAGGGTGGAGCACAGAAGCACATTGTGTCACTGTTGATTTGGGATGATTTGGGTATACAATGGTATACAATGATCTAACATGACCTATCATGGTTTCCAATGATCTATCATGGTTTATAGGGTATGCATAGTATGCATCAAAAATCGGTACCCCAGTAATTGGATGGCTACTACTCGAAATTGAAATTGATTGAATATGCCTATGCAGTCCTGGGGGTTCTAGTATAAGAAGTACAACTGAAACTATGAGGACGCCAACTCGATTCCGAAGCTTGCCCATCTTCCAACCAGACCCGGGATGAGCGGCAGCAGCATTGTTGGGTGTTTCTGTCAAGATCTCAAAACATCTTAATACCCAGCGTGAAGTTGGCGGTGTATGGAATGGAATGCTATGTTTGAAGTCACCAGCAAATTATCAGAAACAGTGCAGGAAGGAATGATTGTACGATAGTGTGCTGTTTGCCAAACTTGGACATCTCACTTGGTTTGGGAATTGGTCCATCGATTGGGGTTTACAAGCACTAAGAGTGCAACATTTTTGCCACCAGGGCCTTTCAAGTGCTTGACCTAGAAGGTTTTTTTTCGAGAAAGTTCATATTTCTATAATATATTTAATAGTTCTTGCCGTTCATTCAGGGCACTTTGGTGTTTGGATTCCAGAAAATGGCTCCAGAAATAGGCAGCCATTTTGGGGCCATCTTGAGCCATGTTGGGGACACGTTGAAGCATTTGCATGAAAAAATATGTGGCCCTGTGGCCATGTGGTCCAAAATTTTGGAACGTAGTACTGAAGTAATGTAAATACCTTTTGGCAAAGCATGCCCACAATCCCTGTCCTTCCCTAGGTTCCCTCTTTTGGGTGTGGTCTTGAGGCCTCCCGATGACTCTCGGTTCTGAAGGGGAGGGGCCCATTGAGGGGCCCGTTTGCATTTACCCAGAGGACTCAAGGGAAAACAGAAACTTCCCATATGTGATTGTGCCCGCGCAAAAGTCCTGGTCTTACAACAAAGCAGGTCTACTGCAAACAAAATCGGCTCAGTTTCAGTTCCTTTCCAACCCGCAGACCCATGACCCCCACATGGGTCTTGGCGCATGGTGTGCTCAGGCGTACACAACTGCTTGGACAGCCTTGAACCTTGGCTTTCGCAGTTTCCTGCTACCAGAGATGAACAGCTCCACTCTGCAAGACGCCCTGCTAGCCATTATCAGTACCTCAGCGAATCCTTGGATTAAGGAGACCGTAGCTCGCTGCAATTGTGAAGGACGTATAGATACGTAATGATACGTATAGGATTTGTGACTTGTCAGTGTCTTTGAACTTTGAGAAGTAGCCATAGCCAGTGGTCTTAAAGCAAGAAGATTCACAAAGGAGGATGGGGATCTCTCCACCAGTGAGGGTAGAACCAATTTGCTCATTGAGATCTTGCTGTACAAGCCAAAGCATGTGCGGTTAGCTCCAGAGTGCGGACCTTGGTGCGCGTGGAATAGGTTCAACTCCATGAGAAGTTCCACAAGTCTCCAACCTCTATAGGTTTGAGATTTTGAGATGGTTTAAGTTTACGAAATGGTTTGAGATGCGGCAGAAAATGACTCAGAGGTAGTGTACTAATTGGGCATGCTTGCAAAGACGTTTTCTTCAGATCTGGCATACTATATATATATATCCATCTACAAAAACTTCATGGTCCACGGGTTCAGGGCACAGCCCAGGCAGCGAAGTTTCTCGGCAAGAAGTCAGGCTCCTGGGTGAAGTGCCTAGCAGTCGCTTCTTGGAGGACCTGCTCTGGTGATGTTCAGCAGTGTATCATGTATTCCTGAAGCAGAGACATGAACAGGAAGCAAAAGTTGATCTTTGGGGGGTACCAGATGTTGACTGGCCACAAGTTGTGGATTCACAACAAGCCCATGCTGTTTGCTTCCGTTTTGGGGCTCCGTTGGTGATCATACGGTGATTTTCGGATGATGGGAGGCTGGCTCATAGTTGAATAGAATCTTGGGAAATTCATATTCAGAAACCAGGGATGCATTTATTATATATGTATGTATATATATATACATTTATACGTACATACATGTTTTATTTCTCGGAATCAAGAGTCAGGTGGCAAAAGGATGCAACAGGAAAGATTGTTCCTAAAGATGCTTGACCCAATGTCAGATTATATTGTCTAGAGATCAGGTCACTGCCGGTCATTTCACTATGGGCGGTCTGCCACAAATCAGATGCAGCGATGCTGCCTTGGGTCGGTCCTTTCTGATGTTCAGATGATGTGAAGAGCATGTGTTGAATGTTTTTTTGGCCGCCAAAGATCATCCTTTCCCCTGTTTTCCCGCCGAGACATGCCATGTTTATGCCTACGGCAGGAAAACCGTACGTGCGTTTTGCTTCTTTTTTGAGTATTGCTCTTTGTCTTGGGGTTGGGGTGGGGTGGGATGGGGGGGCATGTTAACGTTCCTTGTACTTCGTACATGATATATTGCCATGTTGCTAAGATCTCTGGGATCTTTTACTACGTTACGTGTTGCTACGCTGCTGAGATCTCTAGTGTGGGTTGGGGTCGGGGTGGGGTGGGGTGGGGGGGCATGTTAACGTTCCTCGTACTTCGTACAGGATATATTGCCATGTTAGTGTGGGTTGGGGTTGGGGTGGGGTGAGGTGGGGGGGCATGTTAACGTTCCTCATATTTTGTACAGGATATATTGCGATGTTGCTAAGATCTCTGGGATCGTTTACTACGTGACATGTTGCTACGCTGCTAAGATCTCTGGGATCGTTTACTACGTTACATGTTGCTACGCTGCTGAGATCCTTGGGACTTTCTTACTACGTTACAGGTTGCTACGCTGCTGAGATCTCTGGGATCGTTTACTACGTGACATGTTGCTACGCTGAGATCCTTGGGATCGTTTACTACGTGACATGTTGCTACGCTGCTGAGATCTCTGGGATCGTTTACTACGTGACATGTTGCTACGCTGCTGAGATCTCTGGGATCGTTTACTACGTTACATGTTGCTACGCTGCTGAGATCTCTGGGATCGTTTACTACGTGACATGTTGCTACGCTGCTGAGATCTCTGGGATCGTTTACTACGTGACATGTTGCTACGCTGCTGAGATCCTTGGGATCGTTTACTACGTGACATGTTGCTACAGAAGAGTGTGAAAAAAATCTGCGCATCCACGTCTGATGCACATGATGTTTACCTGGATTTGTTAAAAATCAATAGATTTTGCATCCACTTTTTTTAACCCAAATTCAGTTATCCAAACTGATCGGAAGAGCATTTTATATTGTAAATTACAGGTGATTGTGACTCTCCTGGAAGCAACCAATCAAAACGCTCGCGCGGTTTCCCTTCCGCCGGGATGTTTATCCATGGCCAGACAGAGGACGAAGAGCTTGAGGCCGATCTTCGAGAACTGGATGCCATCTCTGTGGAGTCTGTGGAGACCAAGGCCTGGCAGAGCTTGGTGAAAATGCAGCATCAAG